GAGGAAATGGCCACAAAGTCCGGAAGTAGAACTGGAAGAGGAACCGAAAGAAACCAGGAGCTTTGGATGATGCTTTTGATTGGTCAAAACTGAAGATGGGAGTGCTGGGAGAAGGAACATGGGCAGAAGTAGGCAACCTTGGCTCTTTTATGACTCGTGGACTTCAACTCCCAGAATTCCTGAGCCAGCTGTGCTGGCTCAGGAATTCTGGGAGTTGAAGTCCACGAGTCATAAAAGAGCCAAGGTTGCCTACCCCTGAACATGGATGTGCTAATTTTATTTATTAGATTGTTATCCTGCTGCCCTTGTTATTTTTTATAAGTAGCTCAAGACGGTGAAGATTCCCGTGCCCCCTCCTCCTGCTTTCCCCCCCAAAAACAACAACCTTGCCAGGTGGGCTGGGCTCAGAGAGAGAGAGAGAGGGATTGGCCCAAAGCCAGCCAATCAGTTTTCATGCCTAAGGCGGGAGTAGAACTCAACGTCTCCTGGTGATTGGCCCAGAATCACCCAACCTGCCTTCATGTCTAAGGCAGGACTAGAACTCACCATCTCCTGGTGATCGGCCAGCAGCCGAAAAAGCCAACACAATCCTTGGCTGCATTAACAGAGGGATAGAATCAAGGTCACGTGAAATGTTAATACCACTTTACAAGGCCTTAATAAGGCCACACTTGGAATACAACATCCAGTTTTGGTCACCACGATGTAAAAAAGATGTTGAGACTCTGGAAAGAGGACAGAGAAGAACAACAAAGGGGGGATTAGGGGACTGGAGGCTAAAACATATGAAGAACGGTTGCTGGAATTGGGGATGTCTAATTTGATGAAGAGAAGGACGAGGGGGGACAGGATAGCAGTGTTCCAGTATCTCAGGGGCGGCCCCAAAGAAGAGGGAGTCAAGCTCTTCTCCAAAGCGCCAGAAGGCAGGACAAGAAGCAATGGAAGGAAACTCACCAAGGAGAGAAGCATGCAGATGACCAAGAGCAATAATTAGCCATTTAGCGTGAAAGAAAAAAAACCCTCAAGTATCTTTGGGCATGAAACTCAGAGAAAAAGGGGAAGGATGTTGTCGATGTGAACGGAAGAGGTCCCGACCTGTGAAGTGGGCGCATGTGTGCAGAAAAGGGAAAGTTTCAGGTCCCGTTATGACGGCCTGGGCTAAAATATACGTCGGGCAGAAAGAGAGGCTGACAGCTAAGCGGCTGAGCATGAAATGGGAAACCCACAGGTGGGTGAATGTCCTAGGCTGAGCTCCCGGTGGGAACGGTCGGAGAATCTGAGTTCTGAGCGAATGCAGCGCTGAAGAAAAGAGCTGAATGGAGAAACGGGAACTGTAAGGACGTTTAATTACTTACGGTATATTTAGAACTCAGGGTCTCTTGTTGCCTCAAAGTCGCCCCCCCCCCCAGCCATTCGCTCTCAGGGCCCTCCGTCTGCTGGTGATTGACCCACAGTCTCCCCGCTCCCCAGTTGCTTCCAAGGCCGGGACTGATGCTCATCTGCTGGTGGTTGATTCTTCTTCCTCCTCCTCCTCCTCCTCCTCCTCCTCCTCCTCCTCCTCTTCTTCTTTTCCTCCTCCCCTCTTGCTCCTCCTTTCTCCTCCTTCCCTCTCCCCTTTCTCCCACTCATTTTTTCTCCTGCTCTTCCTGCTCCTCCCCACTCCCTCTTGCTCCTGCCTCTCCTCTTTTCTCCTCCTTTTCCTCTTCTTCTTTCTCCTCCCCTCGCTCCTGCTCCTCCTTTCACCTGCTCCTCCTCCCCTCTCCCCTCTCTCCTGCTCTTCCTGCTCCTCTCCCTCTCGCTCTCCTCCTTTCTCCTCCTCCTCCCGTCCCTTTTCGCTCCTGCTCCTCCTCCTTTCACCTCCTCCTCCACTCCTTCTCCTTTTCTCCTGCTCTTCCTGCTCCTCCCCCTCGCTCTCCTCCTTTCTCCTTTTTCCTTCTTCTTTCTCCTCCCCTCTCGCTCCTGCTCCTTTCACCTGCTCCTCCTCTCCTTTCTCCTGCTCTTCCTGCTCCTCCCCCTCGCTCTCCTCCTCCTCCCATCCCTTTTCGCTTCTGCTCCTCCTCCTTCTTTCACCTCCTCCTCACTCCTTTCTCCTCCTCTTTTCTCCTGCTCTTCCTGCTCCTCCCCCTCGCTCCTGCTCTCCTTTCTCCTCCTCTTCCTCCTCCCCCCTCCCCTTTCGCTCCTGCTCTTCTCTTCTCCCTCCTGTCTCCCTTCTCCTGCCTTTTTTCTCCTGCTCCTCCCCTCTCCCTTCTTGCTCCTCTTGCTCCTGCTCCTTTTCTCCTCCTCCTCCATCTTCTCTTCTCTTTACTTTATCTTACTTACTATATTTTATCCCATTTAATCCCCACGTAGCTATTTTATGCTACTTCAATTTCTCATTTTATTCTATTTTATTACGGCTGGTGCTCTTGCTTTGAGAAGACCAACTGACCACTCAAACGAAGTATACAGTATTGTAGTATTGGTACCCCAGTAATTATAGTGAAAAAAGTTTATATCATCTTTTGATATTTACCTCAGCCCTTGTTGAGCTTCCTGTAAAATGATTTACCCGTGAACCTGCGTTGGTAAGGAGCATTCCTAATAACTAAAAGTAAAAACTTGTTCAATAGGTTCCCCCTTTTATCTGTCAATGATACTTCATACATTTTTTATTTTTTTTTGCTAAATACAGGGAGTTTCCTCCTTGGAACGCTGCAACCGTCATAAATGTTGTTTTTATCATAAAAAAAAGAAATACATCACAGATATTACACAATGTTATATCCCATCCCCCCACCCCCCGGACTTCCCAAACCAACCTAGGCTAATATTCAAATACAAGTACACAAATATTAATATCTCTAACTCCAAAGTCTAAACTTAAACAATCCATCTCCTCCGTATTAATAAAAATTATTCATTTAGTTAG